GACTTCTTATTTGAATACAACTGTCAATCAAAGTACGCGCGTCCTGGCCTGCCTTCGCCAAGCCAGCTGATCGCTGCCGATTGTGACGTCACGAAAGTGGGTGGAAACAGCAGCCGAATCTTAGAGCCGAACTGCGATTGGTATTACTTCGGCACATGTATGCGATAATCGGCATTGTGCGGGCATTCGGAACATGCCATCTGCGTAAGAGCCGTATTCTGTTGTTGTCAATAGGCAGCTAGCACCGTCCGCCAGCGGGTACGTATTTTGAACACCCTCTGGAATACGGGGAACATGCCCCTTTAAACATATTTCTGGAGCAGTAATAATAATAATTTTTGGAAGTACTTTCAAGGAAATATTAATCTTAATAATGGTGAAAGATAAATTTGGATAGCTATTTTCATTTTTTCTCAGTAATCTTTCAAGTTTTGAACTGATTCTAGTAAAAAAAAAATCCATGTTTGTGCATGACTGCACGGATGGCAGGTTTTCCTTGAGTGCTGTTTGCCATGCCTACTAGTAGATACCGAAGCCTGCTGTTCGTTACCGATAAGTCACCGCATTATTGCAAAATTGAATAAAGCTGGTGGAGAAAACTGACAATTGTTATGTACAACTAAAAATCGCATCCTTTTCAATATAATTTAATTCGCTTCAAATATTCAGAATCTAAATATGATAAATCCACAAAGTACACCAACGCTGGAATAAGACCTCGGACCATATTGGTTTTTTTGTAATCAAACTTGCAATCATTGTCATCATTTTGGTATCTATTTTTGTTATAACTTTCTTGTCTTTTCATTTACTTATTGCTATACTCCTTATCGTTTGCTAGATTTAGTAAATGTTGAAGCCTGCCGTTCCTAACCAATTAATCAACGTCAACGTTCTACATTTCAACATACCTGCGTTCTTATCCATTACGAAATAACATTTAGTAGGTATTTCCTCCCCATTTCTTTCTCCCTGTTTAATACTGATAACATTTTTTATTTGTCCATATAAAAGCCCAATATTATATATATAAATATTTTCTATATGTAGAAGAGAGAGAGAGAGAAAGAGAGAATGAGAGGGAGAGGGAAAAGGAAAGAATATGTTAACATACAATTATCGTGTACAACTATGAATTGCATCCTTTTCATATAATTTAATTCGCTTCAAATATTCAGAATCTAAATATGATAAATCCACATAGTACACCAACGTTGAAATATGACCTGAGAACACATTAAATATTTTCTTATCAAATTTTGAATCATTGTATTAAATCATTCTGATATATCTCCTTTTTAAATTTTCTTATCTGTGTATTTACTCCAGCTAGATTTCGTATCGTTGATATATTAAATAAATGTCGAAGCCTGCCGTTTATAACCGACAAGGCACCACATTCATGTAGAATTTAACCGATCAATCAACATCAAAGACTTGATTCATCATCGCTCTTTAATAATTATTTTACTTCTTAACATACCTGGGGGGGGGGGTGTTTCATAAAGCTGTTCGTAAGTTACGCACGACTTTACGCACGACTGGTGATAGTACAGCGGATAAGCTCCCAATATAATGAAAATTGTGCACTTTTTGAGGAAAGCATTAAACTTCTAGCATAGTTAGTTTAGACCATAAGATTTATTTTCAGATGTGGAGGGAAGTCAGATTTGACCTCTGATGACCCTGAAAGGTCAAATCCATAATGGCCGCCAGTCCGCATGGTCTAATGTACAAACACACTTAACTTTTGAACCAAATAGTCCAGAAAAACGTTTTAGGTGTCATTTCAAACCGACTTGGGGATGCCAATTCATTTGGTAATACTTTTGAAATCGCCTGAACTCAGGGTTTTGCATTTAGGTCAAGGTCAAGGTCAAAATTGACTAAAAAATGGCAAGTTTTGAATGGTTACAGAAGGTTTTCCCATTTATTTGTTTGCTCTCCCCTGTGTTCTCAAATTTCTTTAAGAATGGTTCCCCTTCATATTCCTCCACCTTAATCCCTTTCAGTTAGTTTATTTCACATTTTTATTTGACCTCTGATGACCCTGAGAGGTCAAATAAAAAATGGCCGCCAGTCCGCTGCATGGTCTAATAATTGTACAAACACGCTTAACTCTTGAACCAAATAGTCCAAAAAAAAAACGTTTAAGGTGTCATTTTAACTAACTTGGGGATGCCAATTCATTTGGTAATACTTGTGAGTACGCCAGAACTCAGGGCTTTGCATTAAGTGAAGGTCAAGGTCAAAATTGACTGATAATTATTAAGTTTTTAATGTTTACATGTTTATGTTTCCCATTTATTTGTCCCCCCATGTTCTCAAATTTCTTTAGGAGTGGTTCCCCTGCATAGTCTCTATCGTAATCCCTAGCAGTTAGTTTATTTCACTAATTCAAGTCAGGAAAACTGCTCCTTCCCATTACTGCTCAGTAATACTGGTAAGATGTTCTTTAAGTTACTTTGTGTTTTATTTGGTTCTAAATAATTTAAAGGATCACTACAGAGTTTGAGAAACAGGCCATAAAGCCAAAAAACGGTTCTGCTTACACTAGACAACATCACCATGACCAGCAACCTGGAGTATAGGCAGCATTCTTGAGGGATGGGAACTTCTGACAGTACTGAAAGAGATGGGGAATCCATTTCTAGAACAAAGGGTTTTGGGGTGCAGACTTGTCCCATATAGGGTGCAGGGGTTTGGGGTCATTATTGTTCCCTGAAGGGTGCATACATACACCCCTTGGGATGCAAGCAAGCACATTTAGGGTGCAGATTTGCAACCTTTATATGGTGTAGAATTGCATATTGCAGGGTGCACATGCACTCTTTACATCACAGTATAACCAATAGAATCATAAGATCAAACAATTTGTTTTCATATCAAAATCACATTCAGTTTCCACTATACATAGGGGGTAAGAGAAAATAACCACATATGACACTGTTGCCATATATATGCGGTTTACCTTCTGCAATATCTAGACAAACGTAACAAGTACTATAAAGAAGTAATACAATGTGCGTGTAATATACCATGTTGGGCTGTTGGCAATCATCAACATTCTAATTTGAGGTACAAAAAAGGTTAAATCTACAATTACACCTTTGAATACAGTATGCTTTTCTTGCATGAAGTAAAGGCAAGAGAACAAACTTTAACAGCTTTAGTCAGGGAATCAACACCAATTTATTCTTATAAATGAAGATGACTACTGAAAATGTTATCTTCATTTATTCCATCAATTCACCCAAATTATTTGGAGACAGCAAATATAGTGTACAAAAACTAAATTAATACTACTCTACAGGACATACAAGAATACTAGAATGCACATCGATTGGAACTTATAGTAGTAAAAGAACAGTAATCACTGCTGGGCCCTGTTGAAGAAAGAGATACAATCGATTGTAAGTCCGATCACGTGTTCTACATGCGGAAATCTGATTTTGGCTTGGAGAAGAAAACCTCTTTCTATCACTATTTACAACATAAATATAAAACTAGACTTTAATTCGTCACTTTGACGAATTAGGTGATACGTATGCTATTTTTTTATCATGTAAGTGTGCCGATGATGATCTAATGATAATGTTCATAACTACGAAAGATTTTTTGTTTTAAATGATAAAGACCATGATTAAGAGTGGTATAGCGCCCCCTTCAGGTATTCGATAGAGATTTGTAGAATCAGGATTTCAGAAAAAGTCGCCTTACACGCAAACTAAGAAAATTCTGACATGTCGCCTTTAATTGAAATTTTCACTATGATGATGTCATCGAAATGATAAATTATGTACGTCAATATTGTAGATAATTTATTAGCTACACCGTATCAAAATTTGGGAGAACATAGAGTACAAAATAAGCTAGATAGTGCTCAAAGATCAATGTCATGTAGATTCATGATGTGAACGAAATTCACCTTCCATAGGCATAACACGCAAATTAAGAAATTCTGACATGTGGCCTTTAATTGAATTTTGTACTATGATGACGTCAATGAAATAAAAATAACGTCAATGAGGCAATTGCCTCAACTAAAAGATACAGAGATTTGGAAGAAAATCAGTCAATATTATGAGAAATACACTAAATTTTCCATAAATATGATGACGTCATAATATGCAATTTGTATTTTGACTTCCAAGGCCATTTTGATGACGTCAAGATGTATTTAATGGCCACATGAGATATGAAATCATATCTCCGACTCATACTCTATCTAAATATGAAAAAAGAATGGCAGTCCTTATTCATCCCGATGTACTTTTTACAGGCATGTTTTTGCCCATATATGCTATGTAATACATGACCTCGCGCGCGCGTATATTTATCTTGGACGGACGCTCATTCCATTATTAATAGTGATAAAGAGATGAACATGGTATCAAATTGTTCAGACAAATATGAGGAATATTCTGTCAATGATTATTGCAGAGGACTTATTTTTCGTTCGGCCATGACGAACGAAAAATGCGTGTTTTGCGCGATTTTTAATAAAATGCTTATAATGGCCTGAAACGTATGCAAAACAAATTTGGGATGATTTTGAGCATTTTAAAAAAATTCGCACGCTAACAGGCAATTTTAGATTCTGCCCGACGAGAACGTGGACTGCCCTTTTAAGTCAATGTGACTTCCTTTTAAGGCACTGGCAGTGACGTCACATTGCCTTAAAAGAGCTTCCGGGGGGCTCTGGACCCCACCAAGGGTCTTAAGGCGTGCCCCTGGATGCCCATCTGACCATACTGAATAGCCGGACATTGCTGCGTGAAAAGTTCCCATTTTTCGGACATTTTGGGAACACGCAAAACTCCTGAGCTCTCACTCACTCCACCCCCCCCCCCTCTCTCCCCCCCCCCCCCCCTCTCTCTCTCTCCTCCCGTCCCTTCTCTCTTCCATTCTTTCTCTTTCTCTCTTTCGCACAGAACATGTATATACTCGGGATCAGGGAGCACTCTATAAACATACAAGAATAGGCCTTTACGAATAAATGAAGATTGTGACAACTTGATAAGTTCCTTTATTGTTGAAGTAATTCATAACGACATAATTATTTCATTCTGTTCTTCTGCTTTATCATTTGAGACTACCGTAATTATAAAATATAGGCGCATTACTAAGACGTCCGAATAAAGAACTGTCCATGTTGTAAACTACTATGTGTATAAAGCGTAAAGAGACTGTCGGCGGGTATACCTCGGCATTGTCAAGCTTTTAAACAAAATGGTTCCAATAATACAATTTATTACTAGAATAACACAAAATATTGTGCACTTTCCTTAAATAGTGCATATGAGCCAGCTGGATCATGAAAATATCACAATTATTCAAAATCAGAATATGAGGGAATATTGGCATAAACTGAGTAAGGAGGGGGAAGGGTTCTAATTCATTTGATATCATGCGTAATTCATTTAATGTTCATATTTTTGTTGTCTTTGTTTTGTTTTCATTATTGAATATTGTTGCAATTGAAAACGTTTGACTGCCTCGAAAACGTGGAACAAGATCCCATTTTTAATCAGAGAATGAGCATTTCTTGCCCCTTTCAAAAGATCCCTTAAAACATATTTATTCCGTCGGCAACATAATGTGAATCACCCATTTTAAGAGTCTGTATTTTGTGTTCCTCTTAATAATTGTCTGTAATTTGTTTGTAATTAAGCGCCATGGTAGGCCTACTTGTATTTAGCACTCCTAAATACTCAACGATTAATATTATTTTGTTGTCCAGATCGGCTGCATGATAATAACCTTCCTTTCATTCAATAATTTGTATTCAAATCAAGTATTAACACGATCACAACTAGTTTTCACAAATATAACGTAAACATTTTCAATGGCCTATAGACTGCTAATTACCTGCTAATGATCGAACATTGTAATGACATAATCCGAACATGAATTGTATGGGTAACAATAGGGCCACCGATTTGACCTATGACCTATAGAGTGATCTGCGGCAAAAGTAGGATTTCCGATTTCCGCATTGGTTGTCATTCCACTTTTGCCTGTCAAAGTCATTGCGCCCTTGGTTACGGGGAGCCACACAATCTTCTCCCCCGTTGCTGTCGTTGGGTTCGCCGGCCTGCCACAGGGTATAGTCTGTATGAGTCCCATCACTCCACTTAAAGGAGCCTTCGATTCGCTCGTCATTAAGTCCAATCCAATAGGCCTGCGTGGGGGGGGGGGGGATAAGAGAATGATTAAATACACAAACAAGGAATTTAAACAAAATTAATATTATTTAAGTTTTTATTATTTTATTATCAGTGAACATGCACAACAATGAACATGACACAAACAAGGTAGTATAAAGGCAGATTGCAATTGAGAAATAAAATTGTAAACAAACACACATGAACACACTATAAGGACATGTTATCCAGTTGTGTTAACATCAGCTGAACATCTTTCAAACTATTATCCTCACTTTCGAAAGTGAAGAGCAAGTCTACTCTTATTATTGTATATTCTTTAAATCTTTGTTGGACTTAAGTGCCTTGAAACCATCTATGTTATTTGGGGCCGGGAGGTACGTCCATCTGAATCTGCAATTATAAACGTAATATTGAAAGAGCATAAAGAGTATAAGCCAAAAATAAATAAAAAATGTTTCATAATTATGGGCAAAGTCGGCATTATTTAATCACCTGTAGCAAAATCTGGCCGGTTCTTATATTTTATCTCTCTAATATTCCCTACACTTGCTGCAAACTCCCGAAGATGGCGTAGTCATATAAATCTAAACAAAGAGATTCGATCATACACAGTCTAAGATTATGTTTAGCTTTATTTTATTCTTTTTTTCCTGCCGTCGTCCTAATTCTAGCATTACGCCATCTTCGGTAGAGATTATTTAAATAAAATCGGCCAGATATTCTGGACTAGGCCCTTTTCTGCGCATACGCGTGACCGTTCGATCGAGTCTGATAAAACATTATAAACATCTTTGTCTATTTCATTATCGGAATTATGAACCTTAAACAAAAAAAAAAAAAAAAAAAAAACGTTTTACATTTTAATTTGAACTTATGAACCCTTTCTCGTTTTCGTAATTACGAACCCTTTTCCGTTTTCAGAATTATTAACCCTTTTCTGACCTTTTCGGAAATACACATTTTTATTTCACACTGTTTTACAAAATAAAGAAGAACAATTTGTGCATTTTAAAAGGATAGGCCTACTGTTATAAGCGCCTGAACGCTCGCAAAACGAACCACTTGGTACGGTATGCATTGGAGCGCACAGGTCGATACTAGACTAAACGGTTTGCTCCCAAAAGCGCTTTAAAGAGAAGGTTCATTGATTTTAAAAAGTAACGTTATTGTCATTATTGCAAAGGTGGAACTTTGATTGGACAAGGTTATCAAAATTCAATGCTTGTAAGCATTCGAAGTAATAACTATTATTAATTACATAACGCTTAAATACAGCCCCGGCATAGCACCTGAAAAGCTCTCCGAACGCTGATGAGATGTGTGAGATCACAGTATGGACATGATTTGCACAAGCAGACGATGTCCCATGACATCTTACACATTTTCAGTGCGTTGTTTATCACCTTCTCTTCAGTTATTTCTCTAACTTGACTACCTCCGGCTAAATATTTAATATATTTCCTTACTCTAAACCCCGCGCATGGTATTATTAGGGATATGTGAGTTTATACATATCCCTGGTATTATTTTGATGAAAAATGCAAGGATAAAAAAAAAAAATCGCTTGTAAACAAAATAAGACGCCATTGGCCCGTATTCTGAAGTCTTGTCTAACTTAGCCACGACTAAAGTTAAACAACTGTTTAGTTAGACAAGACTTAAACAGGACTTAGACGCGAGGTCGTGTCTAAGTCCTGTTTAACTAAATTTCGTATTCTGAAGTCGTGTCTAAGTCTCGTCTAACTAAACAACTGTTTAAGTCCTGTCTAAGTGGTGTTTAACTAAACAACTGTTTAAGTTCTGCGCAAGTCTTGTTTAACTTTCAGTCACGACTTCTGCGCATGCCCAGTAGGCGTTAATTCTGACGATAGACCCAATGCGCATGCGTGCGCGCACCGGATAAATAAATTAACGCGCACAGCTAGCTGTGCGCGTGCCTAGCTGTGCGCGTGCTGGTACCATGGTGATGTGATCGTGACGTAATGACTAGACTGCATGCATGTATTGCACTGTGACGTACGTGTACTACACGTACACTGTACACAAACGCACTAATAATATCACTTATCAGTGCCTCTGTGCTCGGAAGAACCAGCAAAGAAACTTCTCCAACAGAATGGTTAGTTTTTTATAGATTATGGAATTTCCAAGATGTCACCATTAGATAAGAATAGTTAATATTATCGAGAAAAAAAATCAGGCTACACGAGAAAAAATCCTGCAAAATGTATTTGAAATTTTATAGGATGCACGTACCATCGTTCTCCCGCAAGTTCGGGGTCAGCAAGTAGAGTGTACCGTAGACGTTGAAAAGCAGCAGAATCGCGCCCTTAAACAGGACTTAAACAACCCCTCGCAGTTGTCTAAAGTTAAACAGGACTTAGACAGGACTTCGTGTTTAACTTTATTTAAACACGACTTCAGAATACGAAAAAAGTTAGACACGACTTCGAGTCTAAAGTTAGACGGGACTTAGACAGGACTTAGACAACTGTTTAGTTAAACAGGAGTTAGACACGACTTCAGAATACGGGCCATTGTATTTTAAGCTGCATACACCGCGGTATGTTTTGCGTTGCAAGGGGGAACAAATGCCGTCCATGCTATCATTCCAGGTTTCTACAAACAGAATAATTTAGTTATCAGAATCGGGGTCATATCCCTTTTTGAATTGTGAAAAATTCCATTACATTTATATACACTAAAATCATTATAATTTGAGAAATGATAGCATTGCAATTATGTTCATTCTTTATGGGATGTCGTTTGCTTGGGCAGGATTGGTTCACATTGTGATGGTATTGAAACATCGTTATTTTTCTGGCGAATCTCTCGCATAACCCAGATGCTATGGAGGTAGTTTTATTCGTATTATAAATAACCCGATATGTAGTTGACCTAAAACTTGTACGATGGCCATCTGTTAGCTTACCAGTTTCTAGTGATTTGCCATATTTTTTTTTTTTTTTTCAACAGGCACTTCAATACATTTTCTTACCATCGGCGTAACTCTTCTACAAGCTGTACATCTTTCCCGTTCCCCCTTTTTTATCACATTTTCCCAATCACATCACCGCTCCCCCAAAAAGCTACGGATACAAAATATAATGATACTAATCTCTTCATGTATAAGCACTTAACACATTATAAAACGTCCCTAAGGCCCTTTTACACTTCCATGGATCGCATCACGGATCATCCCGGATCTTAATCAGAGGTGTTCCGGCGTGCGACTCCACGATTTCTTCTCGATGCCGGTGTGGATACGTTCCGATCGAACTGGGTGTATACACGGGCAAGTACGGTGTCTCCACGGACAGACAAGGTAGCAACGCGGACCACGCCGGAAACGCATACGGAGCTAACACGGATTTCAAGGAAGAGCACGGAGGCTACTGGGTACTTTTACGGTCCTTACACGGAGGTGTACGTTGTCTATTGGGATATCTCCGGAATGTTGACGGGTGACTTGAGCTTGTAGGCGCTCATTTGATATACGGAATTTCAAACCCGGATGAAACCGGTGTTAATACGGACCTCCCGGTGCCTACACGGACTGTCCCGGATGTATTCGGCGGCTACACGGAGGTACACGTACGGTGCCTACAGGGAAGAGGACGGATTGTTTCATCCGTGAACTCCGGGATGAAAAATTAAGCAAGCTTAATTTTTTTCCCCGGATATGCCGGTACGCCAAGGATCACGCCGGATGCCTCCCCGGTGTATACACGGTAATGCCGGAGATAACACGGATGACCCCGGAGCGACGATCCGAGATGATCCGTGATGCGATCCGTGAAAGTGTAAAAGGGCCTTAAGAGCTTTGGAAATGTTTACCCTAGCTTTAGCTTTGGTGACTGTCATCAGTGCACAGTGCAATGCATAGTCGTACCAGGTGCCCATTTCAGTCACCTCAAAGGAGGGTGTGGCAAATGTAGATAAACGTATTGCTGAAGGATGTTAGTGTATAGGGGTAGGGATTCGAACCCCGTACCCTGTGGTTCACAGTCCAGAGAGTTATCCACTGGACCACAACATTTCTACATTACTCGTCTCTTACTCACCATAATGTGCGTAATTCTCAACAGCAAAACTATTTCAAAGAACATACACTGTCGCTCATAAAGTTGGAATATTTTAGTTTTACCCCAATTTCTGGAATTATTTAAAAAATAATTTAAAAATAATAGATCTAGATAATATAGTATACATTCTCAGATTGTATTGAATAATAATCTGCAAATGTGTGTTTTCCGGGACTGCTAAAGCATGTGTATGCTACTATTCTTATCAACTAGGGGTCCTACGCCCTTAAGTCATAAATGACAGTAATGAGGATCAATGCCCCACAAAAGGGCATTAATATAGCACATCGACACGGTTTTGATCCTGGGGGCTCACAGTTACAAGGTCATTGCTTTGTCACTGAATAATGACTGTACGCAGCGGGGGTTAGGGTAGGGGGCAGTTTCCATTCCGGACGGCCATGCATTATGGCTCAATGCATGGGCACACAAGAGATTTGTTTATGTTGGGAACCGGGGTAAATTGCAATTAATTATTGAAAATGTATTGCGTTGTCTGTGTTTTTTTTCATGGAAACTGCCCCCTACCCTATCCCCCGCTGCGTACAGTCATGGTTCAGTGACAAAGCATTATGGCTCAAGGCATGGGCTCACAAGAGATTTGTTTATGTTGGGAACCGGGGTAAAATGCAATAAATTATTGAAAATGTATTGCATTGTCTGTGTTTTTTTTATTTATGGAAACTGCCCCCTACCCTAACCCCCGCTTCGTACAGTCATGGTTCAGTGACAAAGCAATGGCCTCATAACTGTGAGGCCCCAGGATCAAAACCGTGTCGATGTACTATATTAGTGCCCTTTTGTGGGCATTAATCCTCATTACTGTCATTTATGACTTAACGGCGTAGGTCCCCTAGTTGATAAGCATAGAAGCATACACATGCTTTAGCAGTCCCGCAAAACACACATTGGCAAATTATCATTCAATAAAATCTAAGATTGTATATTATTATCTAGATCTATTCATTTTTAATACTTTTTTTAATTATTCCATAAATTGGGGTAAAAAAATAATATTCCACCTTTATGAGCGACAGTGTAGAACGCTCTACTCTCTACTCTCTTCCGAGCTGTACATATTTCCCACCCAACCCCTCCTTTAACCTGTTGACTACTGAATTATCTAATTCCCATGGACTTAACACAGGGACCACCAGGTTCCAGTAAGCAATGGGTTAAAATAATATTTTGCCTATCACATCATCCCTGCCCCATAGAGCTACAAAAAATACTGCTATTCACCGCGTCTGAATTATCACGCAGACTCTCATCGACGAGACTCTTCCATAAGGCATAGACCTCTCTACTATCCTCCAAGTTGTGGATGCTGACTAGATGCGCCCCAAGTCTTAGGCATGCAGCACGTGCATCGTGCCAATCCACCTTGCCGGAGTTGTAATAGTAGCACCGGTTACCGACTTGCATGAACCTCTCGGGACAGCATCCTTCGGACAGGCATGCGATGGCGACAAGGAGAAACAGGCTGATGGTGAAGTTTGAACTCATATTGCAAACCTATAGTGGAGACAGACAGAGCTAGAGAGAGAACGATCGAGAGAACTGTTTTAAAGACACGCCTATTCAAATAAATGAATGTGTATTTCTATCTTTTCCTTATCATGCTTTATATGTTGTTGTCTGTAATTAGCATTGCTTTTTTCATGTAGAGCGCATTGAGCAATATTTTGTATTGGATTTCGTGCTTAAAAAAGTAATTATGTTAAAATAGATTTTTAGACAGAGGGGGAAGAGCAAGCAAAAGAGAGAAATAGAGAGAGAGAGAGAGAGAGAGAGAGAGAGAAGGAGATAGAGAGTGCTTGCGATATATCTGCCACTCTGTACAATTATCACCATTAAGTCCAATTGCCATGTGTCTAATACCATGAACCTAATATTAGGTTCATGCTAATACCAAATGGTCCAATCACAATTAGGTCCAAAAATTAGAAGAGTATTATTAAAGATGTCACACATGATGAATTGACCTTATTTGCCATCGTATTGTCAAGACGAGTTAACTTTCGAAGTCATCCAGGTTGTGCTATGTGTATTTACACGACTTTAGATTATTATATCAATTTAAAGTCGATAGCCTTTGTAGAGATATAATGTAATAGACAAAATTGCATTGTACTTTAATTAAAGCCAAAGTCCACTCGAAAAATAACTTATATTCAATAGAAGCAGAAAAAATCAGACTAACCAATCAAAAAAAGTTTGAGCAAAATCGGATAACTAATAAGAAAGTTATGAATTTGTAATGACATGAAAAACTTTGAAAATCACAAGACAAATTGGCAACTCACTTATGAGTCTGTGACGTCATGTCCTCACTATTCCCTATTTATTTTCTTTATATTGATGATATAATTTCCTATTTTCTCCTTAAGAATCTCATTTATTCACACCAGCATCCAAGATTGATAGTAATATGTTTTGTGTGGATGCACTAATATAGAGTAATTTTTTCCAGTTAAATCATGAAAAATGTGAACTTTGATAAACTATTCATATAAGAATCAATAATTATGAATATACAATATTCAGACAATAGTATCGAATCTTCAAAGTTCATAAAAGATTTTGTGAAATGTCATGCACGCAATATAATACAAATCATATAACCTGGGCAAAGGCATGGGGAAATCAAGTTTGGGGAATAAAAAGGGAAATTATTGGGATTAAACTATATAAAGCAATTGATAAATAGTGAGGACATGACGTCACAAACTGATAACCATCTTGGCAATTTGTGTTGTGATTCTCATTGTTCCATAGTTTTACATACTTTTTCAAGAATTCATAACTTTCTTATTAATATCCGATTTCACTCAAACCTTTTTGATTGGTTTGTCCGATTTTTCTGCTTTTATCGAAAGTAAGTTATTTTTCGAGTGAACTTGTCCTTTAACTGTTAGGAACACAAATCCTGGAAATGTTTTAACAATAGGGCTATTATCTTTCTTTGAGCCTATCGATTTTCAAGTTTCCTACTTTACATAAAGATATGTAAATATAGATATGTGTGACCGATTTTCGACTTACAGAGTTGGAGAAAAACAGCAACACACTGCAACATAATAAATTAAGAATTCAACACATATTATTGTCATTGACACCACCCGTCCCCCCCCCCCCAATAACAACAACAACAAAAATAGAAACCTCCCATAACTCTTGATATTGATAAAATAGAGTTCTGATAAGTTGAATACTTGATCGAATTCCGCTTGTTACAATACTTTTTCTGACTTGTTTTTTTAATTACAAGATCGAGCACATCGATCTTTATTTACTTTTAAACAAACAGAACTTTGTTAGCTCATTTTCCTGATTGAGGTGTCATATGAAAGGGCAGAAATTGAACTTTCTAGAAATGTTATTTTCTATTTGAAATTCAGATACCGCCCGCCAAATGACTTTGTAGTGTCCTCTCTCCAAATTGTTTTTAATCACTCATGCGCGATATATGCATCATATAAATTGCATCAAAAGAAAGAACAGGATCTACGCTTTACAAATTTGTGTCATTTATCAATTATAATTGCAATTAAGTTATGATGAAACATCGATAACTCTCGGTTTCGTTTTTTCTGGAACGCACTGTATACCGTTAAGTCAGTCAGGAATCACATGGCGTTAATTACAAGCCGATCTCGTCTGATTATCAAGATATTTGTGATTGGAATTCAAAATGTTTTCCCAACGGTTTTTATAACACTACAGTCTATATAGGGGAAAATGAGGATGGTAATACCGGTCATTCGAAGAATGAAAATTTCAATTTTCAAACTCAATTTACGCGATTTGGTGAAGACTTTTTGCCCACAATGTCATCATAGGCCTATTGGCTTCATTATTTCTCTACAGTTGAAAAGAAGACTTATGACAACTTTACCGACTGTCCTAAATCCCAGACCATATGAGAAAACTAGGACTGAATCGTGGCTGGATTTGGAGTTTTCAAAATTGTATGTCATTTTGACCTGTCCATTAGACTTAAAGGGATAGTTGAGTTCTGTTTTCAAACCGCAAATGCGTGGTTATTGCTCTTATTCTTATCTATAGTGCCCTTTTAGGATCTAAAATTGCTATGAAGGTAATTTTAGACCCCAAAATATGTGAAATTTAGCCAATACGAGCATTCCAATAGGCCAGTTTCGTAATGTATTCAGAGACCTTTAAATCGCATTACGTAATCGGAGGGTCGGACAAGCAAAGAACTCGCGGTGCGTAGCAGACTACACTTTGCGTGCATACCATACGTGACTGTGTTCGTTAGGTGTGATTGTATCGTTTGTTTTCGCTATTTTGAGAGAGAGAGAGAGAGAAGAAAAAGGAGGCAGTTTCAAACTTGAATAATAAATATCTTTGAGATGTGACTTTGTTCTTCATACATTTGATCTTTAAAATCGCTGAGTCTTAGGCAAGAATAATAGAAAAGCATTGCTGGTACAGAACTAGCGATTTACATCTTGCAGCTAAGCCTGTTCGGCCAAGTCCCCGGTACAGGCAGCGCACGATACCCCCTCAAAAAGAAGAAAAACGAGGTCGATGATACAAGCGACATTGGCTTGAAAGCCAGGGCTGAAACAGGAAGCGAAGCACCAAAATATAAGTTAGCCAGCCGATATCGGTAATTTCCATTCAATTTTGCATTTACCTTAGCTTGAATCTGAGTACAAATTTGGACGTAGAAATGAAAGAAGTGATGAACTATTTTCCACTCGTTCGCACACACAGTCACCTCTGCTTGCAGAAGCGTGCGCGCGTACCACGTGTTCGTGTTCGTGTAGGCGCAATTCACATTTTCAAAATGAAAACAATTTTACGGATTAAAAAATGTTTGTGAAACGCCTCGATACGGACTATTTTAAGGCGGACGAGAAACGGCTAACGAGAAGCAAGCACTGACCGCAGAATCAATATTATTAACAAAAGCAACGAGAAATAATGACAATAAAGGTAATAATATAATATATAAGGTCTTTGTTAATAAAATAATATTAAAATAATATCGTCCGATGACAGAGAGCTAGAAAAAGAATGATGAATAATGAAAAACAAATAATTTTGAACGGAAAAAATGAAGAAAAACAATGAACAAGGAAAAAGAATGATAGAGCAATGGAAAAAGGGAATAATAAAAGTAATAATAAAAAAACCTTATGATGGCAAGGAAGAAGAATCAGGATGATGAATAATTTTATTGTTTAGAATAAGATTAGGAATTAAGTTTGATTTTCATAAAATAAAAGTTAATAGTATTAGACTACAATTATGCCGGACCTTCGTTATTCAACTTCAAGAAGCAATTATTATTATTTAAAAAAAAAACATTTAAAAATAAAATTGTTATTACATTTTCTATTAGATCTAGTCTAGACTTCTACTTTTTATTTGTTTATTATTTATATATTTTTTCTTTTTGTTCAAGTTGGTATGTTCTGTCTTTTTGCGTCGGTTTGATCTGTATAATCTAGTCACAAGTCGCTATCATGAGCTGCCGAGAGCTAACTAGAGGGGGGATTGTACTCGAGCTTTTCCAGGCCACATAGCTATGGCCATCGGGAAATATCAATCGAAAGTCTTCAAAACTCATAAAAGCCTTTAGTTTTCGACGATCATAAATGCATGGTCCGCCATATTCTCTACTAGATAATTGAATACGTCATAGGTCCCAAAGTCAGGAATATCGTCAAAGGGAGGTATGTAACTAGTTCACTTAACGAAAATCCTAATTCCCGTTGTAATTTCCCCATACAGTCACGTCTACCGAGTGACACGGACCCCGTAGGTCATGGGCTACGGGCAGGCTAGTCCGCTACTGCGGACGCTTTTTTAACGAGTCTTTTCTCGGGTGTATACCGTAGTCGAAACTCCTCTTTTTCTTAGAAAATATTGCAGCTGCCTGAAACTCAACTTGATGAATGGCAAGTTGGAAGACATTTCCGGCCAAAACAGAAATTCATATATATACACGCAGTTTTGATAGAAAGATATGAATAAAATTTAACGGCAAGAACCGACAGTCTAATACACAATGCACAAATTCAATATGGTGATTTGACAAAGCTTGTCGGGCTTGGTTAAGCTACAGTCCCATATACGTCCCGGACCGTCCCGGACCATCCCGGACCCCATCCGGGGTGATCCGGGATTCGGTCCGTGTTGACACCGTGTTGGCACCGGGGTGGTCCTGGATGGTCCTGGATGGTCCTGGATGGTCCTGGATGGTCCTGGGCGGTCCGGGAGTCGACCCCGGATGTTTTTGACGGTCAAAAACTGCCGGGGTGGTCCGGGACGGTCCGGGACAATAGTTTGATCCGGGGTGATCCGTGTAGCCACCGTGCTGGGTCCGGGGTCATCCGTAGTGGCGCCGGGGCGGTCCGTGTTGATCCGTGGCAGTCCGGGAGTGAGTTATTGACCGCCCAGGACCATCCAGGACCATCCAGGACCACCCCGGTGCCAACACGGTGTCAACACGGACCGAATCCCGGATCACCCCGGATGGAGTCCGGGATGGTCCGGGACGGTCCGGGACGTATATGGGACTTAAGCTTAAAGCCCCAGTCCCATATAAAGCCGGACCAGCACGGACGAGCACGGACCACTCCGGACCATCCCGGACCATGGTCTGAGGTGATCCGGGATGGTCCGGGATGTTTTGTTAAAAAAAGTGTGATGCTTTAAAAGCTACAGTCCCATATACGTCCCGGACCGTCCCGGACCATCCCGGACCCCATCCGGGGTGATCCGGGATTCGGTCCGTGTTGACACCGTGTTGGCACCGGGGTGGTCCTGGATGGTCCTGGATGGTCCTGGGCGGTCAATAACTCACTCCCGGACTGCCACGGATCAACACGGACCGCCCCGGCGCCACTACGGATGACCCCGGACCCAGCACGGTGGCTACACGGATCACCCCGGATCAAACTATTGTCCCGGACCGTCCCGGACCACCCCGGCAGTTTTTGACCGTCAAAAACATCCGGGGTCGACTCCCGGACCGCCCAGGACCATCCAGGACCATCCAGGACCATCCAGGACCACCCCGGTGTCAACACGGTGTCAACACGGACCGAATCCCGGATCACCCCGGATGGGGTCCGGGATTGTCCGGGACGGTCCGGGACGTATATGGGACTGTAGCTTTAAAGCATCACACTTTTTTGAACAAAACATCCCGGACCATCCCGGATCACCCCAGACCATGGTCCGGGATGGTCCGGAGTGGTCCGTGCTCGTCCGTGCTGGTCCGGCTTTATATGGGACTGGGGCTTTACAGTAACCGCGCATTACGTAACCGCCGAAACTGGCCTATTCAGCTCCACTTTAACAAAAATACGGTGACCGTTAATTAATGATTGAATTAAAATAACAATACATGGGCCAGCTGGTTGTGCATAATATAAGCAACACGATAATGCCAGCAAAATAGCCAACATCGGCATTGGCTAAAATAATACGTAAAGGGCGTTATTTCGTTTTTTCAACGTTTTTTTCAATTTTTTCAAAATATTTAATATTTGTGGTTGTACACAAGTATTATAAATCGTTATATTTCAGCCGTCTGTTAACCGATTTTGATCACACAAAGATGATTTTGTCATTTAAATAATATGTTCCTTCAAATTTGACACTCAGTTTTTCATTATCTCACTAAAAAAATATTTTGTGTAGCGCCCTCTGCAACAGAACTCAACAATCCCTTTAAGCTGAATTTATACTCGAAACGCAACGGTACATGCGCGGTACACTGTTTCTTGCATGCGGATATATCGATTAATTTCTGCGGCAACTCATCAAAAATTCATAGTTTTCAAAGTTAAAATGTATTTAAACTTTATTGCAATGTATGAACCACAAAATGTTCACAAGTTTTCTTTTCAACTGTAGAGAAATAAAAAAGTCAACTGTAGAGAAAAAAAATAAGCCAATATATAATAATACACCGAATCCCGTATTAAATGAGTTTGAAAATTAAAATTTTCTTCAGAGAAATCTGGCAAAATGCGAACAAAAATATTTGCAAAATTTAGAAGGACACAGGAAGAATCGTGAAGAAATTTGAACACCGGGAGGTTCGTGGCTTGCCCCAGCTTAACATTAGGATGCTTACGCGTACACCACTATGTTATGGGCAGCCCAGTACGAACACTCTAACCCACACCTAGGATTTTGTTTAAAGTTGATTTTTTTTTTTCCCTTTTCTCTTTTCCTTTCTTATTCTTTTTTTTTGTTTTTTTTGTAGCCGCCAAAAAGAGAAAGAAAAGAAAAAGAAAAGGGAAACAATAATCATGCATATGGCACATGTCATGAAAATGTACGTGACATTTTCATTAACCATGGCATTCATGTGATATGAAGCGAACAAAATCCATACAGAAAGAAAGGAGGAAAAGTATAAAGATTCTGACGAAATCAATAAGTGCTCTGCTACGCTAGGCGGCAGATTGCCTAATCCGATGTAAAGAGCTATTATTTAATTTTAAGAATAGTATGTATTATTCCATTCTAAAAGGAGAAAAAAAAATCTACCAAACACTGAGTCGAAGAAATGAAAATACTTTTATTGCAAGAACCGAGTCTTATATTTTCTTTATAGGCATTTTTATTCATGAGTCACTTCAACTGGAAGTATCACATTCTAATATATCTTCTAAGCTTTCGAGAAGTATAAGTGTGTTATCGAAACTCAGATATTTTATACCCGCCAATCTATATTGATAAACTATATATTTTACAAAAACGTGCAATACGATTGATTAAACAGAGTTACTTTCGTAATCCCACTTTACCACTATTTGTTAAATTAAGAATTCTCCCAGCGTTTGAACTATTACAACTTAATATATCACTTTTTCCTGTTAAATTATCACATAGGGATTCTCCCAGTTTTTGTCGATACATACATACATATTGATATTTATATAGCGCCTTTACACGAACATGCTCAAGGCGCTTTACATTTTAAAATAAAAACAGAATAGTTCAGAAATAATTCTTCATTCCATACGTATCACACTCGTACACGGGATAAATATTTTTGTCCCCATTATCCGTTGAACTATAAGAACCCATTCTTTCCGTTTTACAGGAGTACATGAACGGAATTAAATGTGTAATAACCTAAAATCCAGCTTCACACTATATTTGCTTCAAAATACAGGGGAAAAAGTACCCATGCGCCACACATTACCGAATATCACTTTATTTCAATTATTGCTCGCTCATGTTTTGAATTGCTTTACAAGATTATTTTCATGATTTATGTATAATTTTAGGATCGCATTGCAAAGCATATTATAAATACAGTAAGTAGACAATAACATGATGCAATTGCAAAAGAGGGGCTTTGGGTCTCAGCCTCCCTCGGACAGAAAATCAACCCCCATCATTTTGTTTTTTGTGTTTTGTTTTTGTTGAAAGAAATTTGCATGTGGAAGATGAGCGCAATAACCTCAAGCCCACCCCTTCCCCACCCGTGCCGCACGCTTCCCTAACAACACATAAAATAAAGAATAACAAATGTTAACAACCCAACGGAAACAAAATGAAATAAAAACCGCTTCTGTCAAAACTACTGTTCGATATGTATCTACATAATTTTGTGCTGATTGCCAATCTTGGCAAACCAGGGGGGTTCTAAGTTCAAAGATTCTAAGTTGAACTTATCTCTAAGTTGGACTTAAAAATTATGGAAAGCCGTTAGAATCTTTGAAAATATGTTGTAAAAGTTATTTTGAAAGGCATAAAATGTTGATTCAAATCATTCATATTTTCTATCATCAAGGAGATTTCATGTTCTTGATGTGGAAATTATAAAAAAGTCTAAAATACTTGAATTTCTGCTTTTGAATACATTTCATTTTAAGGCTCTAATGGCTGTCCATAATTTTTAAGTCCAACTTAGTGTTAAGTTCTACTTAGGATCTTTGTGAAACACCCCCTGGATATAATTGGGCTAATATGAAGATGAAAGCTTAAACAGAGTAAGCATACTCACATGCAGAGATGGCTTGAACGTTCTGGACTGCACTTCAGCTTCAGCAAGGTGGAGCGTGGATTGATTCTACACCAGATTTACCCCAGTATTTATTGAAAATAAATCGGGTATTCGTGATAAAATCAGGCCACTTTTCGATACCAGGAGAAAAATGTTCAAGTATGCATCAATGTTAAGTTGAAGTGTGCGTCAATGTTAAGTTGAAGTATCAAGTCAATGTTAAGTTGAAGTATCAAGTCAAGCCACGCCATGATGAGGTGGAGCGCGGACAAAAGAAATGATAATGATAAAGAAATAATAATAATGTTGATAATATTAATACCGGTTTCTTAAATAACGCTTTACGATTAACTGACTAAAGGGCTTACAGTACTAGTATTAATACTCCGGTCACTGGATTCGAGTACTATTCTGCACATTATAACGCACATTCTCCACAGCGTGACTCCCTCTATACATTTCCTTTCTGAATTCATGTTTCCCATCAATTGAGGTATCAATAAAGAGTAAATTTTAAAAGCCAAGGGTAACTCGTGGTTCATTGCAAACATAATAAATCATAAACATAAGCTTTATGGTTGTTATTTCAAAAGACAAACAGCTGAGAATTAAAAAAATGAAGGTCTATGATTATAGGACTGTCATGGTTAATACTCTTCGTATAGCCATGGACATACAGGTCCATGGTATAGCCAAGCAAAATTATTGCGATGATTTGTTCCACAGTGTTAAAGGCGATATTAGGGAAACGTGGTCTCATATCAATAAATCGTTAGGTCGGTAAAATAGGCATTCACTTCGTCAAGAAATGGATTTTAATGGAATACTTCTATCATCAGCCAAGGATAAGGCTGAAAATTTTAATGAATATTTCATTGGATTACCCATGAAAAGCAGTACAGATATTCCTCAAGTTCCACAATCTTGTTATGATTATATGAAATGGTGTGATGATAATGCATCTATGTTTCTAAAAACCAACTTCAAAATCTGAGATCATCGATATTGTATCGTCTTTTAAACCATCTAAATCTAGTGGTTCAGGGGGGTGTTTCAACTAGAATTATAAAGGAGTGCATTCACCTGTCTATTAATCCCTTATATACACTCATTAATATCTCCTTATCTCTTGGAGTTATTCCTGATAATTAAAGTGGTACTAGTGTATAACAAATCTAACCGTAAAAATGTCATTAATAATTATAGGGCAATAGCACTGTACTAATCTTTTCTAAAATTATTGAGAATATAATTTATAAACGCTTAAATGAGTTTCTATGTAAAAAAGAATAGCTTGACTTTTCAGCAGTGTGGATTGCGTAAGCACTTCTCTACACAAATGGGTGTGTTTAATTTGTAAGTAATATCATAAAAGCTAATGACGGAGACAAGTATTGTTTGGGGATATTCTTAAATCTAAGCCGTTTGAAACCATCGACCATGGTATCCTCTTCGGTAAACTTGCGCATTATGGAGTTCGTGGCTTCTGGTGAATGGTGCTAGTTCCCAACTTGCTTCTATTAAATATGGTGTACCTCAGGGTTCTGTTCTTGGTCCCCTGTTTTTTCTATACAACTGAAATACACTCAGCAACATTATTCTCAAACTCACTTTTCTCTCTCTCTCTCTCTCTCTCTCTCTCTCTCTCTCCTCGTCCATCTCCCTATCTCTCTCCCCTATCCATCTCCATATATCTCTCTTTATATATCTTTCTCCCTTTTGTTTTCTTCTCGTAATACGCTTTTTTTAATCTCTAATTTCTTCGTTGTTTAATACGATTGAAAACTAAGAAGAATAAATAAGAGAGTAATAAACATATGCGTGGGAACATACACATGACATAATTTCACATGTAGGTTCAGATAAAGTTAAGCTGGTGGTATCAGTATTTGTCATAATAAGGATTGAGATAATCACTTCCAAAAAAAAAAAAGCGAATTTAGGGGCCATTTACGTAATGTAACCAAATTAATGCATATGCCTTTGGGAGGCGTCTACATACAAATTATTTCATTTACCTGTTAAAAATGAATGTTTCTCAATATTCAGAATTGAAATTACGTACATGAGTCGTTACTATGTAGGACAAACGTTATGGCTTGCCCTAATAACAACACGTAATACATGCAATTTTCATTCTGACTTTTTAAATACAATTATTCATAACAGATAAATGAAACAATTTGTATCGAGGCACATTATAGATATACATTTAATAGTTAGATTACGAAAATAGCCAATCAAAGTAGGTATTTCAAAAGTTGGTGTAATATAGACCTTTCACGCGATCGAAAGTCGATAATTTCGTTTGTGTGTCCTCTTTTAGAGTTTCTTGAGAATTCCTTTGATCCACGAATATGGAAAAATAGGGGATATATATTATATAATTAAAAATAAATAGGTCTTGGGATTGAACATCTCTCAAAGTAGGTACGCGTTATTGTCAGGATTGTTTAGATTCGGATGAAGGATCGAAAGAAAAGTCAGACACAATCTGAGAGAAATCAAATACCCGGATGCTACTCATTTAAAGCTTCTTTCAATTCCCAGGTCGGTGTCTAATTCTAGATTGTACTAGCATAACAAAGATCAGGAGGATAGGGAGCTATGTGAGCATCACATACCCGGATGCTACTCGATTACCATCATTCAAAGCTTCTTTCAAATCCCAGGTCGATGTCTTCTAGATTGTACTAGCATAACAAAAATCAAGAGGATAGGGAGCTATCTGGGAGCATCAAATTCCCGGATGTTTAATCCTCAAGTGGGATCATTTCATGATAGACAGCATCTTGACTTGTAATTCTAAGCGCGCGTGTATCGGGAAAGTATCATTGAAACATTAACCTTGTAAGTAAAACAATAAATTAGCAACAATAAAAATGTGATGAAGAAATGAGGAGTTTCACCCCGAAACGAGTCAAGCGCCATTTTTTGAAAATGTTAAAGTAACACCACTCTCGAAAAATAAAAATATGCCTTTCATTTGATACCCCGCTCCTTAAACATTCACAGAAATTATTTTGAAATTATTGTACAAATTGTCAACGTTAATTCTCGTTATTTTCTTTATAATTATTCTAGTAATGTCAATCGCAAATACCTCAACTTGAAAAAATGGAGATACAATGTGTTGCGATTTGCGACGGAACTCTTCAGATGTTTCTCGCATATGTATACATTAAACACTATCAAATCATCTAAATATCATCAGAAAGAATTCTTTAAAACTCATCCGTTTATAAACAAAATGTATGCGACCATTATAAAGGGGTAACAGGACGTCGCACTTCTAATTTGTTTTCTTCCTTCAAATGACATTTAGTGACGAAATCCTATCATTGCACAAAAAAGAGGAAGAGAGAGAGAGAAAGACAGAAGGGGATGCTTAGGACAGTCTTGACGCGATAAGATGTTGATTCCTTCTCATTTTATCTTTAAAAAAAAGAATATAATTGCCGTCGTAGATTCCATTGTTCACGATTTTAAATTGGTTATCGGATACAATTGCCATATATAAACCCGAAAAAAAACATGTGAAGAATAAATGAAATAACAAGCGGTTTTTATTCAGTCGTTTATTTTCATCTATATCCGACACGCGAAAGTCATACACATTTCTATGTTAGCGCCGGTGAAAATAAAGATGCACATTAATTATTTTGCACACTACTTTTTATTATATCCCACTGAAAATATCTTACTGGGGTGGATCCAGGTTCAAAGGGTGAGAGGGGGGGGGGGGCAGTTGACAAGGGGGGGGGGGACAGTTGACAAGGGGGGGGGGGAAGGGTCCTTAGCTTAAATCATGGAGTCAGGAGACAAGAGCAATTTTTTCAAGTCCAAACTTCAAACTAGTGAGAAAATGATTGTAAAGAAAATAATAAATACCGGTTTTTACAGTTAAGAAGTAGAAAACATCGCATTCATTTTATTAATGATACTGAATTTATATAAAATAATGACAATATCATATTACTGTTCAAACAAAAATCAGTTTGATTTATTTGAAATGTTCGGTATGTGACTTTCATCTTCATAATCTGATAATGGTGAACAATGTATTATACGAAAGAATGGGAAAGAATTCATCGTTGTTTCTATCTCAAAAGGAATATTCTGCTACACTGTACCAACATTGTTTGGCACACATGCAGCCTCGTACTGCAAACGTATGAATATTCATGACTCTGTCGATGGTTGCGTGGTCGCAAACCAATGATAATTGCGGAGAATGTTGATTTTTACACAAGACAGCACGGGACTCACGAATATGCACGACTTATGCCACGTCTCGCTTCCCGGAACAGCGTATGCTCTTAATTATGCATACACGGGATGCGCCTCATCCAATGGGGGCAAATGTAGGCCTACAAATATGCATACACAAGCCACGCCTTCGTGGCACCGGGAGGGCCCGTTCGCCCGGGGGTAATTCAGGCGGTCGGTCAAATCGTAAGAAACGCGTTAAAATGGAAGGACGGGAACAGTTTTAATACTAGCAGAAATAAACAAGGCATATGAAACAGTAGAACAATTAGAATGTTTCAGTTACGTATATATATATTTTTATTACAGTAAGAATAATAATACAATCTATCTTTAAAATAGTACAAATCAGACATAAAATGAATTAAATATATTAGTTATTTCTTATCTAGAAGAAAAAGGACCCATGAACGGAATTATGCCTTTATTATTACAAATTCATATGAACATATAATTAATAACATTATATCTATTCACCGAATATGAGGACATAACCCCCCCCCCCACACACACACACACACACACACACACGCACGCACGCACACACAAAGACACAGCATATTTGTTTTGTTTTGTTTTTGTCTTACTTTCCCAAATAAGAAAGAAGGATTCGTCATACACTAGCTGATTACTTGCTGATTTCGACTTGCTTTTAGGCAAAAAAGTGCTGAATATTGGTAAGTGATACACTCCTTTCAAAATGTTCCCATTATCAAAAAGAACTAAACACAACATATCGTTTTAGCACTCTGAGAACATCACCCTACCACCATTTGAAGATACAGCAAAACTCTGCTCAAATTAATCAGCCTAAATATAACTTTCCATTTCA